CGGGGGTTGGGGTTAAGCGGCTTGTGGACGATTAGAGAGCGCCGCAGCCATCGTCGCAGCTCCCCAGCTTCATCCCCATTGGCGATCAAAACCCAACTAGTTCGTGGTTCGGTTAAATACAAAGTGCAGCTACCGAAAACCTGCATCCACTCTCTGTCTTGTCTTCCTTCCTTTCCTTGGTTTTCAGCTTCTCGCTTTTATCAGGGTCTCAAATGGAATTTACAATGACAGCGCAAATTTCTTTAGTATCATCGGTTTATCGCGATAATGCAATTTTCAAAATTACTCTCTTCATCATGTGATTCATACAATTTGTTTGAAAGTATTTTGCAATTCACACATGCTATAATATGCATACACGAAAGATTATTTATTAACTTATAAAAATTGCCTGTAGAAGAAGATACCAAATTCTCTTTATTTAAGATCCTTAAAAATACGTTTTCGTTTAGAAAAGGAGTTCCATTATGTTTTCACTTCTGTCACTGTAAACGCTACAGTAACCCGATTCAACATTAACGTGCTGTTTCGTCACGGAATCAAATATTATTTTATGCGAAGCGAGTTCTTTTCAGGAGATTCGGGAAAATTTTCACAAGCATAAGGCACGACTTTGCCCCTTTTGGATTGATAACAATTTCCTGAATGAAATGCAAAGTGAACGTCGTACTTTCAAACGAGTTTGGAGGCAGTCCCTCCTCCGAGTCGTCTCTTTTCCGCTCCGTACCAACTCTCGACGAGGAGGCGAAGGTTTTCTTTTTCTAGGGTGAGAAAGTACGTAAAAGTTACATGGGGAATCACTTGAGTTCGAGATTCAATAATGCTGATTTATTCGATGTTACGATTATCCGAAACAACCACGGGAATCTATCTCCTTTGTAAAAAACAATAAAATCAGAGTTTCCACACGATTCATTTAAAAGAAAGTATGTAACGAATCTCGACCTTTCATAACTGAACAGATTCTGATTTTGTGTCCTATCGCTTTTTTATAAACAAAAGTGTTCAATAAAATTAATTCCTTATAACATAAGTTCGATATTGTTTTAGATATAAATACATCCGCATGATTTAATTTTTCTTATTAAAATACAGACAAAAGGTCAATCTTAATTCTACACCTAGAGTCGTTAATACTTTAGGCGTTTGGTCTGATCGACCACCAGGTACGTCGCTCATTTTTCCGGGGGTGAGACGAAAAACTACGGACCGCCGACGGAACCCATTAACGGCATTCACGGTGCGACACTCTTTTCGCCCCAACTTTCGCTTCGACTCATTTTGGGCGACGCGACGAGACGCGACGAAAGGGAACCGGTCTGGCTGCCAGTCGCGTCTTGCGTCAAAAGTTGAGGCGGGGTAAGCAGGAACAGCAACCGGAAAAATTTCATTTTAATATCATCTAAATGTCAGGGGGCGCAACATTGGAAATGCACGTCGACGCTGTGCCGAGGAAGCACCGGCGCTCGTCGTTTGTCTTCTGTCGAAAACACGTGGCTGAACTTTCGCGACGACTGCCAGAGGAACGAATGAGACGAGAACGATTTCACCCTTTCTTTTTGCTTCATCAAATATTTTGACGGATGACGAAATCTGTTTTAGATTATGTCAAAATTTGTCTCAATTTGTTGAATTTTTTGATAAGTTCAGAAATAATTTAGAGTCTGCTGTTAAAGTATGAAATGTAAACAGACAATTTCTGTAATATTTATTGTAATTATTAATTTGCTATATCAAGAGCTTGAACTGAATTCATTTTGTGAATAAACGATTTAAAAATTTAACATAAAAAATGCGTTATTAGTTTATTATTACAGTTCCATATTAGTGTAATTGTTACTATTTACTTTCGCAGAAAATTTGTTTCTACTAACGACATAAGAGATCCCATCTTAAGTTCTTTTCTGTTCTGCTAGTATGGAAATTTGATGTTACTAAAGAGACAAGGCGACGGACTGTAAAATGCATCTGCTAGCCACTTCTGTTTCGTCAACGAGGATTCCGTTCGATGCAGGCGGAAGATCGAGGCGAATGTTAATACTGAGCGATTCTGCACTCTGATGGAGAAATTGGTGTACCAACCACGGACGTAATGTTACCGAAAGAGGTCGATGCGAGAACCGGGGGTTGGGGTTAAGCGGCTTGTGGACGATTAGAGAGCGCCGCAGCCATCGTCGCAGCTCCCCAGCTTCATCCCCATTGGCGATCAAAACCCAACTAGTTCGTGGTTCGGTTAAATACAAAGTGCAGCTACCGAAAACCTGCATCCACTCTCTGTCTTGTCTTCCTTCCTTTCCTTGGTTTTCAGCTTCTCGCTTTTATCAGGGTCTCAAATGGAATTTACAATGACAGCGCAAATTTCTTTAGTATCATCGGTTTATCGCGATAATGCAATTTTCAAAATTACTCTCTTCATCATGTGATTCATACAATTTGTTTGAAAGTATTTTGCAATTCACACATGCATTATATTATGCATTCTTTTATACAGTGCTGTATGGATCGACAAGAATAGTCATATAAAATAATAATTGATTATCGTTTAGCTAGTTTCTAATACTGTATATAAGGTTTGCATTTAATGAAGCTCGATTTACTCTTCTAATTGAATTCTAATTCATTCTTCCACAACACATTTCATAATAGCTGTACAATGAATAGGAGGATATACATACGTATAGTTAGAACTAGCTAGATAGTAAAAGGACGAAAATAAACAGGAAGTATGAATGGGGCTAGTTCACTTCGTAGCCTGATATGAAATGTAATAATAATAACTACATTACTATTGTACTATGCCTCATTTTTTTCAATCATCGATCTCGGGTTTATATGATCTTTATTGTAAAGCGAGGATCAACGAAATGCAGATTTATTGATGATTCTAATAGTTTCTGCTGAATCAAAGAACATTCATTATTTTATTTATTCATATACTGTCTATATTTTAAACTTCTATTTCCATTCAATTCCAAAATAAAGTTACGAGTAATTTAACTTTTAATACGTAGGTGAAAAGTATTTCGATTTTGAAATGTCAAAATTCAACGCCAGGTTGAGCACTGATAAAATGAGACATAGATTTATTAATATCTTGGGGTTGTGTTCTTTTACAGAAAACTAACACAGTCAAAAACAGGTCGTGAATCCCAAAATAGTTTAAATTTCAGACGAAAATAGTCGCGTATATAATATAATAGTAGGAACGAAATTAGTCGAGATACTTATTAACCATTTTCGTGGCCATTGCGATTAAATTTATACGACATTTATTTCTCGCGATACATTCGCGAACGAAACTCGGTATCAAAGATAAGCTTTTGCGAGCTATTTGATTGCGAATAAACGAAGGAGAACTATGCGTCTAGCTAAAAGTACGATGTCGCTGCAGCTCAAAAGTGTTTTTCCCGTCCGAGTGGCAGTGTCATTAGACAAAGCTGCAGGATCGTGGTCGATCGCCCACTTACCTCGGCGATGCGATGAACGCGTCGCGGCTTCCGGTTTTACGAGCTATGAGAACGATACCATTTATGATTTCGTCAATTTCCCGAACATTCGGTCCCCCATCTCATTCAGGTTCGTCGTAAAAATCAGACCTTATACACTATTATGGAGCATTTCCGTGATAGAATTAAGCTCAGTATCCTTCGAGTCTAATAACGCAACGTCCCTCGAAAATATCTTCGAGATTTGCGAGATCAAATGGCGTCAGGTAAGTAGTTCATGAATTTAAGTAGAGAAATTTCGGGAAATTTGACGACGACCGCGAGAGAAAACTAGTCCCACAGTTTGACCTGCTTCGTTACGTGTAATAAAAACTTAGGCTGTTTACTCCTACATTCAAGATAGTCTGCACTGTACAGTTATTTGTCTATCACATAAATGTCTAGCATACTAACATTTCTTTGGGGAGATCTTCAGAAACTTTTGCAACTCTAATTTGTGTACAAATTATTTTTTAAAATAAATTCTGGCCATTTATTATATTGAGAGTCTATATGACTATAAAGAAACATTATTTCGTACAGTAAAATAATGTTGCTCACTAATCTTCGTCATTTCAGTTTGTCATAGTATTCGAAAGTCGGACATCGGAGGTGTTCGCGATTTCGTACTTCCGGATTACGATGATACCTGGTGTGTACTCTGACGAGGCGTATCACGCTGTCCGAGCTTTTAGTCCGTCGCGTCGTGAACGTTTGTTTCGCACACAGCTTACACGCGTTACACAGTTCTATCTGCGAACAGTATTTAGGTCGACGCGTACGCGAAAATCGTGTAGCAGTGGAATATTTTTATGCTGAACTGTATAGATTTTATTCTTATCGTCGAATTAATTCATATAGAATACCTTAATTTAGAAAATATTATCTTTTTCTGTGAACTTGTTCGTATAATAATATACAAAATTTATATACATGTACATTTTTCATGAGCTTGCATGTATGAGTACAATGCATTACAGCTTGTGAAAGTGGAAGAAGTTGTGATGTAATGCTTTTCGTACATTCTACTTAGAATCTGTCAATGACGAAGCAGTGATCAATCGAAACTGAAATAGGTGGGGACAGGTGCATCTACCAAGCTAAAAAGTGTAAATAACGTGTATACTAACTTGATACTTCCAGTCTGTTGTTTTTACTTTACATTTTTTTAGGTGAGACTTTGGATGCAGTTAAGTGTATTAACGTGACATGGGAAAATATACAATAAACAATTTGAGAAATTGATCTTTTACAAGGAATTCATTCAACAAGACAGTGACTCTAAGCATACCGTCAAGACATAATAAAATTTAAAAAACTGTTTAATTGCAGGAGAAATGAACAAGGTATTAGAATAAAAATGTGAAGAATCGAACAGTTGACAAATAATGTGCTACGATATGTTGAGAAAGGCAGTTATTCTACCATAAGACAATCCAATAACAATAACTAATTAACCGATAATTATTTACAATTATATAGTTATCTACATGTTCTGTAAAATTTTTCACTTACTTTAGTCCTTCTGCAATTGGCTGGCTTATTAATTAAACATAATTTACTTAGACAGGTATGTAAACAGTATTAACTTTAATTAATGATTATGATGATGATGATGACAATGTGTATAGTATTAAGACTAAGATGTGACAAAATGTTTTTTACGGTATAGTGAAACGGCTTGATATCAATTATTCAAACTTATTTCATGATATTTCGAGCGTGTGTTACTGTTAGCTCAATCTGCTGTATTTAATACCAGTGCCATATTGCAATTTTTCTCATGAAATAAATTTGAAAACCTTTTGCTTTACGGGCGGCAGTAAAGTCTGACGAACAATGAAATGCGGAAACAGACAGAGAGAGAATACGGCGGATACTGGTACGTAGTCCCCGGTCGAGAGGGAATTTCGGGCGTGGAATTTTGAAATTTGACAGCGATTAACGGGTCGGTGATCCGACTCGGCGTTGTTCTTGTTTCGCGGGCACACAATCGTTACGGTACAGCGACGTTAACGACGTCACATGCCGCGTCGCGGGTACAAACGTCGGTACGCTGCGTCCGTCGACGAATTAACGCCCCATTGATGTTAAACGGAGAAACGGCCCAAAACTCGGATCAACGTTATGACGCTGCGCTGTTTGTTCGACGAATTCGGCGCACGTGACGGTCAGCGATGATCACTCGCTCAGAAACCTTCAGCGTTTTATAGTAGAGGACTCCATATAAAGTTGAATTTAATTGAATTTAAAGTTCTCAATAGTTATGAACATATTATATAGTGCGAAATAGAAGAAAATGTAATGAAAACAATATAAAGTATATAATCATAGCAACATAACATAAGAAATAATTAATCAACTACTGGAAAGTTATGAGAAATGAAGTATTTATTTATATTTTTGCTTATTTGTTGCATAACGACATTATTACAGTTACAAAATAATTAAAAAGGTTGAAACTGGTAATTCCGAGACACATTATGTTTTATTCACTTTGCAAATGAGCAACGTATATGCATAGGTATTTCGTTAACCCGTTCGAAGGCAGTCGGGAACGAATCCACCGTGAAGCTCCAATAGTCCTTGAACCGTTTTTCAGTCGGACAGTTTGCAAATAAATGAAAATCCGCGGCGTAATAGGCCTCGATCGCATTACCCTGTACTCGAACAGAATAAATAGTGTCTAAAACGGTTGGGAGAGGAGCGGCACGGCGCGGAATTCAATTGAGCACCGAACGTCCGTGTAAAAGCCGACGTGCAGCCTGTCAGTCAGCACGATGGTGTTTGTGCGCGCTTTTCCAACTCGCGTACAGCCGCTCATCTACGTGACCCCTGTAAATGCGCATCGAATATGCCTCTTCCGTTCCAACGCGCCGTGCCATCTCTTCACTACTTTTTTCCCTGCAATTCTATAGTCCACGCTTTTTCTATACGCACGTTTCTTGATCAGCCTGTTATCAAATGAACCCGAGGATCCGATTGCTCTATTTTCGTTAACCGTTCGTTATATTTCGTTTAGACTAAGATGTGACAAAATGTTTTTTACGGTATAGTGAAACGGCTTGATATCAATTATTCAAACTTATTTCATGATATTTCGAGCGTGTGTTACTGTTAGCTCAATCTGCTGTATTTAATACCAGTGCCATATTGCAATTTTTCTCATGAAATAAATTTGAAAACCTTTTGCTTTACGGGCGGCAGTAAAGTCTGACGAACAATGAAATGCGGAAACAGACAGAGAGAGAATACGGCGGATACTGGTACGTAGTCCCCGGTCGAGAGGGAATTTCGGGCGTGGAATTTTGAAATTTGACAGCGATTAACGGGTCGGTGATCCGACTCGGCGTTGTTCTTGTTTCGCGGGCACACAATCGTTACGGTACAGCGACGTTAACGACGTCACATGCCGCGTCGCGGGTACAAACGTCGGTACGCTGCGTCCGTCGACGAATTAACGCCCCATTGATGTTAAACGGAGAAACGGCCCAAAACTCGGATCAACGTTATGACGCTGCGCTGTTTGTTCGACGAATTCGGCGCACGTGACGGTCAGCGATGATCACTCGCTCAGAAACCTTCAGCGTTTTATAGTAGAGGACTCCATATAAAGTTGAATTTAATTGAATTTAAAGTTCTCAATAGTTATGAACATATTATATAGTGCGAAATAGAAGAAAATGTAATGAAAACAATATAAAGTATATAATCATAGCAACATAACATAAGAAATAATTAATCAACTACTGGAAAGTTATGAGAAATGAAGTATTTATTTATATTTTTGCTTATTTGTTGCATAACGATGTTATTACAGTTACAAAATAATTAAAAAGGTTGAAACTGGTAATTCCGAGACACATTATGTTTTATTCACTTTGCAAATGAGCAACGTATATGCATAGGTATTTCGTTAACCCGTTCGAAGGCAGTCGGGAACGAATCCACCGTGAAGCTCCAATAGTCCTTGAACCGTTTTTCAGTCGGACAGTTTGCAAATAAATGAAAATCCGCGGCGTAATAGGCCTCGATCGCATTACCCTGTACTCGAACAGAATAAATAGTGTCTAAAACGGTTGGGAGAGGAGCGGCACGGCGCGGAATTCAATTGAGCACCGAACGTCCGTGTAAAAGCCGACGTGCAGCCTGTCAGTCAGCACGATGGTGTTTGTGCGCGCTTTTCCAACTCGCGTACAGCCGCTCATCTACGTGACCCCTGTAAATGCGCATCGAATATGCCTCTTCCGTTCCAACGCGCCGTGCCATCTCTTCACTACTTTTTTCCCTGCAATTCTATAGTCCACGCTTTTTCTATACGCACGTTTCTTGATCAGCCTGTTATCAAATGAACCCGAGGATCCGATTGCTCTATTTTCGTTAACCGTTCGTTATATTTCGTTGAATTAATTAATTGAAATCTGGAAGTATGCGATGTTTTATGAATAAAAAATTCGATGAAAGATTTCCAATATCCGTATATTCCTAATTGAATCAATTTGAACGCATGAGAGAAATAGGGCACTTAAATGGGAAAAGATAAAGCTGTTTTTCTGAATTTGTTATTCATATATTCTAATACTTGTTAACAATATTATTATGTTCCATTTCATGTAATTAAAAGAGTGTGTTTCCATTTAAAATCTAATCGAAAACTGAAGTCAGTTTAAAACATTCACGAAGTGGAGAATCTAAAATTTTCAAACCGCTTCGAAACGTTTAATCCGGTTTCGCGATTCTCGGGAACTTAATTTCGACTTCGCTCACTGGCTTCTCCGTGACCTACAGTCAACGAGGATGTTCCCAAGAAAACGGAAAAAGAGTAGCGTAGATTTTTGGCTCGGCGCGGATTTAACGCCACTTGCTCCACTCGCGTTACAATTTATCACTTTTTTCTCCTCCCCCCGGAACGTTTTCATTTTCCCAGCTACCGACGAGAGAGGCCAACGAGACGGGAAGAACTCCGTGCGAATTTCATTTCGCTACGCCACGTTGTAATACGTAAGTGGAACTTTTCTGCCGTTACGACAGAGCCACCGTGTTAGTTGGCCGTCCTCCCGTCCCCTTGGCATCGGCCCCGAGCTTTAGATTTTTCTCTCGGCATTCGCGGCTTATTTTCGTGGGAATTTTTTCCTCCCCTTCTCTCTTTTTATCGAGGAAATGGATGAGAGCCTCCGTAGAATCACAGCCTTTTCTCTAGCGATTCTCATGCTTGCATGGTGTAGTGAAAAATTGTACTCAACTTAACCATTCGAATTCCGACGACCTACTTACAGAAAATTTTCCCTCTATGTATTTATCTGTTCATCGTTTCTGTTCATTTTTGTGTTATTGTTCTCAAAGCAATATATTCCATTAATTTAAGAAATTTAATCGCATAATGTATTTATTTAAGAATAACTCAAATTTAATCAATTTTACGTACGATTATATTTAGAAGATAACTTTTTTATAGTAATATGAAGGTTTTATTAATATTGTACAAGAAAATAAAATTATGAACGAAGCAGGACCTGAAGTAAAATGTTTTCACGGTATACGTTTATTGTAGCAAAAACAAAATTGATCGATCGTTTTTGTGGGACCGGGTGTTTCGCTTGCTTGGGCGACTGCTCTGATCATCCAACTGACCATCGATTCTAGTTCTCCCAGTTCCCTACAGAACATCAGATTGCCGATTTCCTACATTACAATTCAATAATATAAATAATAGGTGCTAGATCCTCTCGTATATTTCGTCTACGATTATATGTACGTATGCTATGCATCGTCGATATTTCAGTTTATCATACATCAAGCTTCTAACAGTACGCGCTTGAACATCGGAATTTCAATTTCCTTGGTGAACTTTCCTTAGCAACTGCGAAGTATCTGAGGATCTAACAGCAACGCATTCAGCCGTGTACGGTACTTTCCCTCTGCACTAAAATTTTCACAAAGTGAAATTCTACGACTCATGGACTTCGCCACTCCCGCAAATTCCTTCGAATCCTTTGAACTCTCATGAATTGTTCAAAATAATTGCTAAACAAGATCGATTCAGATCAAGTTAGTAAATTATTTTGTGTTTTTGCGTAATAAAACGTTCTGAGTGAATTGGTTATGCTACATGTGTTATAGAATTCGTCATTAATATTACACAGTATTCATGAAGATATTATAAAAAGCACAAGAAGACAACGATTTCCATAATATGTAAATGGATAGATAATAATAGGGTGACATAGAAGATGATGCAGTAAATGAAGTCCAATTTCCAGCATTTTGTTCCTTCAAGCATGTGATCGCCCCTCTATTATCTTATTTACAATTCCTGACCTACGCAATAACCAGTACGCGCGCGCGTGAGGCTTGGGCGCATCCGTCACGGGTAGGTGCGGAATCAGCAGAGTATTAGGGTGCATCAGCACTGGTAACCAACATAACCGTGGAACGTGTCGGCTCCTCGTCGCGCATTCAACCACCTTGTCCTAGCCTCGAGTAAGTAAACTGGAATGGGATGTAGCCGCTTGTGTGCCACGGAGAAAGATAGCGAAGCA